ATAAGATTCAAAAAAATAAGTTAGGTTGTAGTGTTTTATTTTAATTTTTAAGCTTAAAACTAATTTTAATACGCTAACATAATTCAGAACAGGAAAGAAAGCGTTCATTTAAATTGTCTTAATGCAAAAACCACGGCAATTCATCCTGTTGCTGCGTCAAGAAAGAGTCTACGAAATAACATATGTTCAGTTATTTTATATTAAAAATAAATAAATCGTAAAGATAAAAAAAATAAAAATTAAAGAATTTTAATCTGTGCAGTAACACGTTATTTGACGCATATTAAAAATAACTGGATTAATAAAATTACGTTGTGACATCAAAAATCAAGAGATAATATAATATTTTCGTATTTATAACATTAAAGCTACGCATGTCCCAAAAGTTATAGTTTAAAAAACTAAAAAAACACGCTTTAATGATGAACCGAACTAAAAAGAAAAAATAATTTTTCCTATAAAAATAAAGTTATTAACCAGAAAATTATTGTTATTGTGAAAAAAGCGTGGGGTTCTTAGTACAATATTTTTATACGTAGGGTTCTACTTTTAGAAATCGTATCAAAGGTGTATTTATAACGACTGATATCGAGCATCTCACAAAAAAACCATGTTAAATACTCCATTTCTTACACATGGAAATTCTTCAAATCATTAAAACCAATTTTCAGTCAACAAAATATCATATACAAAATATAATAGCTCCTATTTCCGTCTTATTAAATCCTGGTTTGGTTGTCTTCTAGACATTGCTTTTTGAAATAAGAACGCCTTTCTGTGCCATACATATTTTTCAAACAACACCTGTGCCTATTACCTTATTCTGAGTGCAAAAAAAATAAATAACTAAAATAATACTCAAATCTAAAAGCTAAAAACTCCACTGACGACACGTTTGGCTCAGTTTGTAGTAACCCTACTTGCTGTGCCAGCGGTTGCGGGTTCCAGTCCCGCTGGGGGCATTCATTTGTGTGATGAGCACGAATGTTTGTACTTTAAATATGTTGTATTTAAAGTTATATATGTGTAGTGTATCAACTATCTGGTATCCATAACACAAGCCTCGTAGCTTACCATGGAACTTGATGGTGCTGTGTGTTAATGTCCCAACATATTTATTTATTTATTATATATTACTTATATTACTTACTTATATTTAAAGTCGGTTAAATCAACGCCATAAAATTAACTAGTCTCTGCCCACGGTTACTCTGTGCGGTAATGAGCCGGGCGACGACCTCGCTCATGGCCGCCCACTTTTATACCTAAGCTCAGACACGTATACGCCTATACAACCTGGGTCTATCGGGATCTTGGGATTCCTGTTGTTTTTCTTGTATTAAAAACGAATTTTAAGTTATTTATACTGCCTAGGTGGTTGCTAGCGTATACGGCTGCAGATCCGGAGGTCCTGCATTCGAGTCTGGTCGGGCCAAGTTCAGTTGTTGAGCCTTTCTGTTAAGAATATCTCAGTAACAGCCCCGAATTGGGAAGTTGGTGGTGTTTCACCCCCGTGCTGAGGTAGAGCAGTTGGTCCTGCGCCTTAACTCTCACTGGTTGTATCGAATTGTCACCCCGATATCTATCTATTATCTTCCTATTACATATGTGATTAGTATGGGCTCCATGCCTGCCTGGATACTGCCTCTATGTTGGTATAAATATTAATTTCCAAAAAGAAAACTCCTTCCCTAACAATAATTACTTGTGATTTTAAAAGAAGATATAAAAACACGAAGAATACTGTATAGAGCTAGTTATAGATAATTTGTTTTAGCGGATCGAGGATCAAAAGTAACCTATGTCCGTCCCCAGGACGCAATCTATATTCTTGCTAAATTGTATCGAAATCTGTTCAGCGATTTAAGCATGAAAATATAACCGACAGATTTACTTTCACATTTATACGTTTTGACGCTTATTATGGAATAGATAAACTGTAGATACATAGGTATGACATGTGTGATGATGTTTTATATCCCTTACTTGAGAAATAATTGATTCACCATATAAACTTCCACCCTTCCTTTTCACTCCTTTAAGGGATGATTTCCGGGATAAAAACTATCCTATGTCCTTCCCAGGGTCTCAAACTATCTTCATACTTACGAGTATCTGAATTGGTTCAGTGCACTGTGCGCGAAAAGGTAACAAACAGACAGACAGAGTTAATTTCGTATTTATAATATGGAATAGCATTATATATAGCAACTATAGTTTCGGCCTCTGTATCCATAAAAATGTTTATTTCAATAAGATTTTCCAAAAAATATTGAATGTACAGATTCGGCTTAGTTACAATTGTATTATATGTATAGATGTGGATTTCTACTTTCGTAATATATCTCTTTGTAAGTTACTAACGCACTTGACAGACCTATCTTTACGTATAATAAAATTGTAACTAAGCCGATACTGTACATTAAATATTTTTTTTAAAATCTTATTGGAATAGTCATTATTATCGATACAAAGGTTATATGATGATGATAGATTATCCGGGTCAACGTATAGGATACTTTTTACTGCGGGAAAATATCTCATCTCTGAGAAATCTATACTAAACTTCAAAACGTAAGTATGGACGACCGGAGCGGGGGTGAGTCGCTAGTTACACGATATAATAAGAGCGACATTGACACTGAAGAGTAACAAGGCTGTTATTATATATACATTACCTAGTGTAGTGCTAGTTGTACACTTCTAAAACCAGTTTACACTTATCTAAGGTCTTATCTAAGGTTATGAGTTTATACATCTCATCCTTTTGTAAATAAAAATATCCTTATAATAGTATATCTATACAGTTAAATAAAATTGAAGTGTCTGTTTGTAATGTCAAAATAACAGCTTTTTACTGAATGCATATAAAAGTATATACTATAGGGTTATTTGAAAGAAAAACACACTTTTTAAATTTTTTCTCTATCTGTCTGTTTGTTTCGGCTAATCTCCGAAACGGCTGGACTGATTTTGATAGGACTTTCACCGGTAGATAGCTGGTGTTATAAGAAGTAACTTAGGCTACTTTTATTTAGAAACAGCATTAGAGTTCTGCTTAAAAAATTAAAACGTAAACTAAAATGAGATACAAAATGTTTATTTACAAGTGTAAACCTTTTTTAGAAAATAAAGTATTTAAGTGTTGAATGTATGAATCACACTTAAGGAAAAGCGAAAAATTATAATAAAGAAGGAAAATGAATAGAGGTCGAGGTTGACGTTCAGTTTTTTTTTAAACATATACGTACATGGTTTTCAAGGCTTATGTGTGCCCTTAATAATAAATATTTACGTTAAAAAAATTCTAGAGTTATAGGAATTATTTTTTACAATTTTTTTTGAGTAAATTATTTAATTTCTAATTTAACTAGCAACTTCTAAATCAGCATTATTTTTCTCGGAAGCTATTGAAGGTTAGGATAAAACGAAAAAAAATTTTTTTTGTTCTAAGCTTGAGGGTAGAATTTGTAACTTATATAAAAACGAAATTAAAAAAAAATACTCAAAATTTTGAGGTGGCCTACTGATTTTTAAAATAATTAATTGAAATTTTTCGTTTGAATGATTTATTTCTTTTGACTCATCATCTTTGAACATATTCATATTTTGTTTTCTACCCAAGTTTCACTGTAATACTGCATTATTGCAATTTTTTTAAAAATGAAAAAATAACATGTTACTATTTTTGTATTACAGTGAAAGTTGAGTAGAAAATGACTATATGCGTCAATAGTTGAATGTCTTTGAATCAAAGATGATCACGCGAAAAAAAAAACATTCAAACCAAAAATTTAATTAAATAATTTATTAATTATTATTTTTTTAATTATATTTATTAATTAAATTATAATTATTTATTTATTATTTTTTTCACTCCATATTATAGGAGGCATTGCTAAAATTTTGTAGTCAGTCTTCAATTTATTTTTATTCTTTAGTGGCGGCTTCTAGGAGTGCCATTTGGGCACAATGTCACATAAAATGGAGTAGACACGTTATATATAGTGACCGGTAAACGAAGAAAAAAAACACTAAATCTGATTACGTAGTTAATCCTATAGAGACACTAGAGAATGGTGTCAAATAATTTACTCCTCAGAAGCATGCGAGGTAATAAATAAATAAATATGTTGGAACATTAAGACACAGCGCCATCTAGTTCCACGGTAAGCGACGAGGCTTGTGTTATGGATACCAGATAGTTGGTATCTCTGAATTGGTCTTTAAGATTAAGATGAATTCACTTAAAAAAAAAGACTAATTTTTAGAGGGCAATAGTTGCCGGTTAGGCTAGTAGTCCCAACATATTTATTTACTACTACTAAATTAGGTGCATAAGTTGTTGTGTACTAAGCTGTATAAATTACTATAGTTTTTTAGCTATCCCACGGGAACTCTTTCATTACAACAAAAAAATTGAAAAAAAAAACTGGATTTGTTCTATATCTCTTCTCACATCTTCCTGACTCGATTTTTAGCATTTTTTTTCTATGTACAGACAATAGACTTCTACAGTTTTATTATATGTACTAGCGACTCCCCCTCGCTTCGCTCGAGTTCGTCCCTACGTACATTTTAATTTTTTTGAGCGGAACCCTAATTCTTTTATTGAAATAAAAGTAGCCTAAGTTACTCCTTATAATATCAACCACCTGCTAGTGAAAGTCCCGTCAAAATCAGCGTAGCCGTTTCGGAGATTAGCCGGAACAAACAGACAGACAGACAAAAATTTTAAAAATTGTATTTTTCTTATTAATACCGTATATATTTCCATATGCATTTATAAAAAAGCTTTTATTTTGATATTACAAACAGACACTTCAATTTTATTTATCTGTATAGATAGATGGATAAAGTGTCCTTTATCCGTACAAAAAAAAACGGAAATTGACCAGTTTTGACCAGCGTACCGTTGCGCCTCATTAAAATGAATCAAGCCCAAAATTGTAGATTTCACTTAATTTTTATAATAATTATTTAGATTTAATTACATAATGATGATGATGTTCTCCTGGCCGATTCCGGCCACGGCGGCCAATCTCATTGAGACTAGCCAACTGCGCAGGAGATATTATAGTGCACAAGTGTACGCGCAGACACAACGTGCACTCTCTGCGTGCATTCCTGTCACTCTCATATTCCGGTGGGACGGCTACTCGACACGACCGGTGAGAGTTAAGGCGCAGGACCGACGGTTTTACGTGCTCTCCGAGGCACGGGGGTGAAACACCGCCAACTTCCCAACTCCGGGCTGTTAGTAAGTCTTACTTATACAGAAAGACTCAATAACTAAAGTTGGCCCGACCCGGGACTCGATCCCAGGACCTCCGAGTGTGCAGCCGTACATGCTAGCCACTACACCACCGAGGCAGTTAATTATAAAATAAATAAATAAGGAAATTACATAATATTTAGTCAATCGTTAATTATAAGTAAACGTAATAAAAATATTTTAAAAAGCATGATAAAAAAAACATTGATTACTTCTAAAGTAGTAGTTCTAAACTAAACGGACAAACCGACAAAAACATCTTTATTTATATTACAATAAAATTTTTTTTTGTTAGAACATCTATGTATATTATGTAAAAACGTTGCGTGACTGGACATGTAATATACATATATATATCGAGGAAATATTACCAACTGAACGTTACAAATGCCACTCAAATCTGAGATGAGTAATAAAATAATACTTTATATTTATATACTGTATATTTGACACTAGCGACTCACTCTCACTTCGCTCGGGTTAGTCCCTAGCTTGCTTCCCAATACAAACTTTCATGCCCATTTTCAGTCCCTTAAGTGATGGTTTCCGGGATAAAAAGTATCCTATGTCCTTTCCAGGGTCTCAAACTATCTTCTTACCAAATTTTATCTAAATCGGTTCAGTAGATCTAGGGATTACCCCCTACCTACCTCACAAACTCACAGCCTTTACCTCTTTATAATATTAGTATATATCTTTACATAGTATATAATGAAGTCGCTTCCACTGTCTGTTCGTTTAAATCTTTTAAACTACTCGACGGATTTTAATGCAGTTTTCAGCAATAGGTAGAGTGACTCAAGAGCAAAAAATTTATATGTATAATACATTCATATTATAGTACAGAAAAGCTGAGACATTCAAAGATTTGTATTTCATACTAACCATTAAAACGTACCTAGGGACGAAACCGAACAAAGCGAGGGTGAGTGGCTAGTTTTAAATAAAACTATGTTTTTCGGATTTTGCCCGAATTTATTTTGATTTTCGGTTACCGATGTTTCCCGTGATCATAATTGCTGTAAACCATTCGAAAAAATTGAAATTAATTATTTTATGTATAAGAATGTATTTTTGCCACCCTTAAGCTATAATTATTAAAAAAATATATATTTTCACAAATGGCGTACATATTCATTACATAGTACTGCAGAATGGCTTAACCGATTTTAACTAAGCTTTTACAATCTTATGTAATAATGTATTGAGCTGTAAATACTATTATTTTTAAGTTAAAAAGTGTATTTGTGCATTTCAGTGACCTAATCTTAACCTTTGGAAGTACTAGCCAGATTTAAAAAATCTTTAAGCATTTTATAGCTTTAAGAAAAATTATATAAAGGCTATCTAACTTCACCCTACAATGTTAAGATCCAATTATGAATAAATACAATATATTAATATAATAATAATTAATTAATGTTAAATAAAATGGAAACTTGTTCCCAGAACATCGATAACAGGATACCAGTCTTCCTAAGGAAGTAATGTAACCAGGGCTACGGGAAAAAACATGGCTTCCACTGGTAAGGGTTCGATCGAAAGTGACAGAAAACGTTAATAAGGGAATATTATTATTGGCATTCGTTATAAAATTCTCAGAATTGTATATTAGGCCTAAATAGCCTTCTAAAAAACAAAAAAAAATAAGAAATTTTTTCTATCAATATTACATTGGTCATAGAAATGATTGTTTGATGAATGATGCATTGTCACATACAATATGCATTTAAAAGCTGCTCAGATGGCGCCACTGGTTTATGACGTTTTTAAAGTATTGTTTGTTGTTGTTTGTAAAATATCTAACCCTTATCAAATCTTTATAATCTATGCTTCTTAGCCAAGTTGACATTTCATTGACGTGTGACATTGACAGATCATATCAATGCCATACACAGTTACCATGAAGAATACAGACAAGGAGTTCAATCTCCTTCAGGTTACATATGTGAAATCTGTCCGTAAAAAATTTTTGAGGTATAATTCCAGAAACTGCCACGTGTTGCGCTAATTTACGTAATTACCAGGTGAATTTAGCTGTATGTCAGTAGCGCGAAGTTAGTGATAAACATAATAATCAAATCAGTGTGAATTTCCCTCTCTCTCTTGGGACATAGCGACTGCAGCGCTCTCTGCGCGCCCACTATTATTTTTTCAAATTTTTGGGACAACTTTTATATACAGAGATTGAACTCCTTATCTAGTCTTCATGACAGTTACTAACCGGTATAGAGAGCATAATGTGACAGTATGTTCTCCGCTTTCTCTGTTTTCTCTATCTTCTTCAACTTACCGCAAATTTCTAATGAGTTTTATTATAAATACCTGTAACAAAAACAAAAATTAGTGACTCCGCAACATAAAAATTAAATTGATTTTAAGTCTACTGTAAAACTATTTATTTAACCCTTATGTGGGCAATTTCCTTTTGAAATTTAAATTGCATTATTTACATTCTACTATGCTTTAGAAGGTAACTAACTTTTACAATAACAAAAGAAGTTTGCAAGAAAACAAATGGTTTTAAGATACTGAAGTCAGGACCAATAAACATAACTTTGATAGTACTTATATCTAAAATGGGTATTACTGTTGCCTTTGAGAATATCACTGATAAAACATATCTCTCATTATATTTTTTATATTCAGCCCTTTTTACTGTCCCAATGCTGAGGGTGGGTTTTCCTTCAACACGAGGGAGATCAGGCCATAGTCCACCACGCTGGCCAAGTGCGGACGGACTGCACATGTCTTTTGAAAACTTGCTAGGTTTTCTTAGACATGCAGGTTTCTTTACGATGCTTTCCTTCACCGTAGTGTTGATCATGCTGGAAATAATTCGCACATGAAAATATCGGAGGTGCAAGACCCGAGATTTGAACTCGTTTCACTTGGTTTACCAAACAAGCGCGTTACCACTGGACTAACACTGCCTTAAACAATATTTTTTATTCACACCTGAGTGTAAACGTGGGTAGAACAAAAAAAATTACGACGGAAAATATTATTTACTTCATTTTAAATTTAATAATTAGGTAAAAAAATTAAAAAGCACATCTCGCAATTCGTGTCAGCCTCCTTACTGTCCTGCCGGTGACCGCGATGTAGGGCTCTCAGTCCGATTTACGCAAAACATGTTACATGTTACAATTTTAATATTTCATTAAAGTAAAATTTATTTTGAAGCAAAAACTAGGAAAACTAGCGAATTCGTTCACTTAGAATTATCGAAACAAATATTAATTATAGGACATCAAAGATGGAGAAATGTATGGAAAGTACTGACATCCACCTTCTATCTTCTTCTATTATTCTATTATACGTACATTTTTTGAGACCTTTTTGTAAATTATTTTATAATGTAGAGTCTCCCCAAAATATTCTACAAAATAACCAAAATTATCAAAAATATTAGGCACTAATAATAAAATTAAATTCAAATGAAAAAATTATAAATGTTTATTGAACGTCATGAATCTACCACCATTTGGGAAATAAAAGCTATAAAGACAAGAACTGGTGAAACAAAAACTCAGCAAGTCATAACCAGTATTATTGTACAATATTTTTTTTATGATTCAAAAGTTGATGAAAATGGCTGTTACTTGAACAGAATGTGTAACAAATGAAATAAACTTTATTCAATTAGACTTATTACAAGTGCTTTTGAATCGTCAATTTAATGTAAGCGTCAGTAACATATTTAATACGTATATATATATATATATATATATATATATATATATAACCTTTTTTTAACATTGAGCAATGCATTTGTGCATGTCGCTTCCATACATACAGGTGGTTATGTGGGACTCGTCAGCTAGAAAACCCAGTACTACCCACTAAAACCCAACAGAACCTCCTCATCCTAATGCATCAAGAACGATACCTGAAAGCCACATGTACATAGTCTGGGCTAAGAAAAATTAAAAAAAATCACCCAATACCACCCTTTTCTCCTATATTTATTAGCCGATTTTCTTTTTTTTTTATTTATCATCTAATAGCTATTGACGAGCTTTAGTGTTATCAATAAAAAAAATGATTTTTTTTCTATAGATAGGTATATTTTATTCATTATATTTTTATCAAATTTTCAATAATGATTATGGTCGAATTTAAACTATTGGACGGACACTAATATTTTTTAACAACTCGTTATACTTATTCATAGAGGGCGCTTTAGAATATTGACATTAAAGAACGATAATTTTGCACGTAAGCATAGTTGCAGTAATTTAAAAAAAAAGCTTTTGTATCATAAATTATGTAGTGTAATAACTTAGTAAATCTAAGAAAGTGTTATTTATTTTTTATTGTTTAGTTATTTATTCGTATTTTTCTCAGTAAACCTTTTCATTTGATATCCATATCATGGGAGTTCATACAAAAATATAGTCCGCCATATTCGGGAGTCCGCCATATTAGATTTAGAATGACGACACTTATCTAACCAAGCATTTTTATCCAAACTAAACGTGTATGCCAAATTTCAGCTCAATCAGTTGAGGATAACTGCTTTAAAATTCAGTTACAAGATTTAACCCGAACAAATATACATACAAACATTACAAGTTAAATAAAAGCTTTTAAAATCATATATACATTGTACTTTAAAAGCTCATAATATGACACTAGCAATTTTTCAAGTCGGTCAAAAGAAAAAGACGAAGCGTACATACAAAAAGGAAGTGAGTCGTAAATTACATTAATACTTTCCGCATTCGTGTGATAAAGTACGGAATATTTTAATTGAATTTTATTTTGTTTCATTATGCATGCTATGGTATATATAATATGCATGGTATATGTGATAAGCATGGTTTTTAGTTTTTATATTAGGCAAATAAAGCCTATTTATGAAAATAGGCTTTATTTGGCTATTTCTGCTGGGTGGTTTAAAAATAAGGGAAGCCGTTTTTCGTAATTAGACTGCAGAATTGTCTA